ATACTTTTTAATTGTGTTTTGAAAATTACTTTTTATACCTACCGGTAAAGTTTTGAAAGATTTTTTTATATATCCACCATACAATAACAAGTTTGACTGTACTTACATATGTTTCAGATACATTTTTAATGTATTTAAATGTAATTAATTAAAAATTATTTGGAGTAAGTGTCAATATAGCTCAAGTGAACATTTTGCCAAATAAACTGCGGTAAAAACCTCTACTGATCTTCTGCAAGTATACATACAGTTGTAATTGTTCTTGTTAGTGGGTTTACTGAGAGTGTTGATTGATTGCGAAGAATAAGCCAAATGAAGTGAAATTCACCAAATTTGAAGGATTCGTCAGTATAACGAAAAGCAATGTTAGAACTCAATTTCTCTATCGAAAGGAAAATAAAAGCAAAATATTTTAGGCAGCAACAGAAAAGTATAGAAGAAGTGAAAATCGAAATACGTGCTAATTGCAATTGTTTTAAATTCCTAGAAAAGGAATCCACTTGTATGGCAACCTGTTTGTTTTCTTTCCCTATTTCCAATTTTGTTGAAACAAAGTTGAAAAATAAGAAAACAATTTCATTAAGTTAACTTTTATCTCGAATAACAGATGTATCTGTATATTTACATTTTAGTATAAACGCAAACAGATAAACAAACACAGATCCACACACACATGCACACGTATGTGTAAGGACATCTTTTGTTTTATTTCTCCATTTTGAAATTGAGTTCAAAAGTTGTCGAGGCGTTATTTATGCATGACTGAACTGCTTCTTCAACTTCTTTTTCTTCCTTTACTTCCACTGCTTTGTTTTCGGTAGGTACTCTTCTCGAAAGTTCTTCGGTATTCTTCAATATTTTTACTTGCCCGAATCGCAATTACTGGATGCTGCCTTGGAAGTGACTGAGTGGGTGTTGCGAGATGTACTTTTATTACTTTTTATGTGTTTGTTTCTTCTGTGTTTATATTTACATTTTATGTGCAAATGACACATGTTTATGTATGTGTAAATTATGCATTCGAGTGTTAAGCAAGTGCGGGCACATTCGTTAAATTGGATCGAGAAAGTGAAGAGCGTTCCCTGATGAGAACTGCCTTGACTTCTATGTCATAGCTTTATATTTATTTAGCTTTTAATATATTTTGAAAGTGTTTAGGAATTAAAATAATTAATTGTATTTTATTGTTTTTCAACGACTTAACTCTTATGAGAAACAAATTGGGAAAAAGCGCTTGTGCCGTTAGGGATGCAATTTCTCAAAATTCTTTATTTTAAAATATTAATAATATTATTAATAACTGTAAGTTATTATCTGTTTTTTATTAGAATTTTTTTCTTTTGGATTTAAAAGTTTACACACTAATACCAACTTTTTCTATTCGAAATATATTTATTTTCACATTATATTAAATTATTTATTCTAGCTATATTCATGACAGCAAAGACAAAATCCCCCAGTAATTATTTGTAAGTTAGATTTAGATAGTAACTATTGTTCCTATCTTTGAAAATTATTGTTTCAATTTTACATCCAAATAAGCAAACCAAAATAAGATACATTGCATTAGTATACTTTTAAAGTGAATTTTATGCTATAAGTAAGGTGTTCCAATAGAAATAAATTTAGTATATTTCACTGGCACTGGCTATCAACCTTTGCAAAGTAATAGTAGTACACTATAATACTGTGACCAAAACGGTGAATAGTTCAGAGCGTTAAAAAGTTCTACATATTTTGTTATTTTATTAAGTTGCATTTAATGTTTATGGTCTATTTGGTATTTTGAAGTATGACTTATCTTAAAAAATTTAAGATAAGTCATACGATTAATTTTTTAACATTTCTCCGGTTCCGGTTCGAAGCCATGGTTGAAACATAGCTCGTGTGCATTAGAGAAGTATAGTTTCTTGATATCTTTGTTTTGTTAGATGTGCAATAACCAACTCCTTAATTGTCCTCAACAGCAGTGATGGGCATTATTCTGTGAAATTCATGTTTGTTCTAATATTCGAGTAGCTTTTCTTTAAACAAATATGAACTCTATATATATTTAAATTTTTTAAATAAATTTAATATCTAATTTCGGTTTTAATGCATTAAAGCTTTCAAATCATTAAACGTAATGCAATTAAAAGGACTGAAATCATCGTAGCACCTAAATGTTTCCAAGTCTTAACATCGTCTAAAACTCTTAGTCGGATATCATTGCAGCTTTAATATATTTAGCACATTCAAAATGTTTTTTTATATTTTTTTTTTTTTGCAAAATTCATGAATTTCTTTCATAATTTCATTTTTGGGCCTACAGGACAAATTACATACTAACGAATCCTTACTTTCATTATGCCAAAATAAGTGCTCCTATGAGACTTGTTTTCATGTACAAATGCGACTAAAAATAAAAGGAAAATTAAATGAAAACGTACTGACGGAAGACTCTCATTCGAATTGAAGTTGAAATCGTAAGTGCACAAATTTACCGCCGACTCCTACACTTCCGTTTCCGGCGAGTTCGACTTCATGCGACAGAGTTCCTTAATATTTGTGCAACAAACAATTTTTGTGTTAAAATTGAATTATTCTGTTTGATTTCCTGTTACAATATTCACTTACCTACACACGTAAAGGCAGACACATATACGTGCGCAAATACTTAAGCAAATTACTTACATTTGCATGTGTTCATCTGGCATTCTCCATTCTCCATACGCCGTACGTCATACGCCATACGCCATACGCCTTTCAACAAATACAGCGTATGACACTTTAGTGTAATTTTATTTATATATGCCTACGCTTGTCAATTCGTGTTTGTTCACACACAAGTTTTGCTGCAGGATACAGCCACTGTTCTCCATATTTTATCATCGGCAAGGCATGGCGTAATGCACACTTACCGTCGCTGAAATTATGCCTCAGAGTATTGAAATCGCATCAGCACCAAAACACAATAAAAAACTGGTAACAAAATTTACGAAAAAACGAAATTGCCGCCGTCAATGCTCGATGCCGATTTCAATGCGTTTGCATTGCGAGGTTGCCAGATTTTTGTACATTACATTTGCGAGCGCCATTTGCTTTTTATTTATATTTGATTTTTTCGCTATTTGTTTATTTATGAAAATCGAACGTTTAAATTTATAAAAAGCATTTTTTAAATTCCTCCCTTTTACTTCTTTCCCAATATGTAAATTCATTCGGCACATGGAAAGTATTTATTTAATAAAATTCATATTTTTTTTAAGAGCGCCTGAACGAATAAATTCATGCAATTAACAGTAAAATTTATTTCGCAAAACATTTTCCAGCTATTTAGTATTTGGGATAAATGTAAAATAAAAACTGTTTCTCGAATTACGAACGTTTTGTAAAAGTTTAAATTACTCTGAAAATATCAATCAATAAATTTCGTTAATTAACCAACTCCATTTAAATAACAACTTTCACTTTTGTAGAATATTTAATTCTTTGCCGATTTGAATCTAAAATAATTGAACTGGTCAAATATAGTGTATTGAATTGCAAATTTGTTTTAAATAAAAATAAAATTGACCTTATAGATTAAAAAAACCTTTCAACAAAATTATTTTTGGTCATTTGCTCATATCAAATGAAAAAAAATATAACAAAGCAATCGTGATATTTAAGTAGGCAACGGAAGAGCTAAATAGCTGCTCAGTCGAGGGGCCAAATTAATTTGACAAAACTTCTTTCACTCTGGATGAAGAGCACATAGTTTAATAATTAAGATAGTGGAAGGGTTCTTCATATAAAAACTGCTGTATGTTTGTTTGCAAAAGCGCAAGCTAACAAAATCATCACTTGTTTCTAGAATGTCTCAAATAGATCTCATATATTTTACAAAAATAACATGAAAATTCGTACAGTACTGCTGATATACTATCTTAATAAAACCTGGCTTTTAGAGATTGGCATTTGTGCTTACAACATTGCTAAACTGACTTTTAGTAGATATTACAGACGCTTCAAAGATGTCTTCGGATTAGAAATATTTATTTACAACCCTCTAATAGAAAATCCAACAATTTCGTTTCCGATGAAACGGCAGAATAATTCTTGGTGCAACAACAAAATATCAAGATGAAGGATTATTGTTATATGCTACTTATATATGCTTTTATATAATATATACTATTGTATATGCTACTTAAGAAACAATTTTAACTGAAATCACGGACCAAATCTTCGAATATGAAAGTATTTTGCAGTAGATTATTTTTATATGCTTTCTACTAACGCTTTTATAACCTCTAAAGAGGGCTAGAAATTCTAAACAAGGTTTTTTCTAATTGTTTGCCACAATTCAACATTATTAGTTGGATGTTACTATCTACAAACAATCAGAAACCTATCCTATACCAAAAAAAGTCCATGTAAAGATCCCTTTCCATGAATGATATGAGAATATAGCAATATATTCACAATCCACATTCTGTAATGTTTTCAATTAAATCACAAGTTACAAGTTACATTTTATATATCTTAAATTAGTCTATTCAGTTGCATATTTCAATAACTTTTTTAACAAGCGAGACTGTAATATAAAATAATAAAATTTAGCCAAAAATAAAAGGGCCACAATAAATTTCTGTGAACAGAAAATAAATGAAATATTTGCAATACCCAGCTGACTTTTAATTACAATGACAGTGATACATTCAAGGACACACCAAATAATATTTCTAACAACAGTAGATCGTCGAAAAATGTACTGTGTCCTGTTATAGTCTTTTACTTATAACACGTTTTCCAAAACACTCCAAAAAATTTTAATGGACAAATGTAAGGATATGTTTGTTTGGAATAATTGAACAATGTGTATACTCGTATATTGTCGTTCTGTAAGTGAACACAAATTGTGCCTTGCAAAGGATATGTGTTTAACAATTTTTATTTGCTGCCATTTTTAAATTTTCCGTTTTCAGATTTCCGCCTTTGTACTCACTTCAATTTGCATTTTTTTCTGTTATTTTCAGTTATGGCCGCTGGGTCACACGTCGTGTTGCTGTCATCACCATCGCAGCTATTTGGCTTTTGGCCGCATTTGTTTCATTTGTGCCAATCTCGCTGGGCCTGCATCGACCCGCACAGCCGTTAATTGTGGAGGATAATGGCAAAAAGTATCCGACGTGCGCATTGGATCTGACACCGACATACGCTGTTGTCTCAAGTTGCATTAGTTTTTATTTTCCATGTGTGGTTATGATTGGCATTTATTGTCGGTGAGTATGGAAATGTAAATTGAAGTGGCATTTTATGTATTTCAGTTTTAGTAACGAGTTTGTCAGGTTATATGAACTTCCATTTAGGAGGGCAACAACATTAATAGAAATTGTAGTTTAGAATATAAATGAGAGGAAAGCTATCAGCTCACCAATCGATGTGATTTGTTAAAATTTGTTAAAAGTTTCACCTAAAGAGACTACAATTACGAAAGGATATTATTGATTTAAACTCACTTAAATGTTAATTTTACACTTTTTAGATCCAAATGACATACAGACATATGCTAAATATTTCAAATATATCCAAAAATATCCTTTTTGGCAAGCGCAAGTGTTAGAGTTTGTATAGTTATAGGCAAAAATTTCTATAAAAATAAATATATTCCAATTTTCCTTATATTATACAAAATAATCCTTTAGGGTTAACCTTGAATAGCACCTGTCATTAGTCCATATAAATATTTCCCAATTTTACTACACAATAAATTACTAGAACACAAGTTATTATTGGGATCCATGTGCACTTCTGGTGTGTGTTTGTTTAAAATTTGAAACACGTATTCAACATAAAAATTATTTATGTGCGATAAAGTTGTTCTGCCCACAGGGACAGTCGGTGTAGTTACCAGTTGCGCCAAACTGTGAAAGAAGCACCAAACAGTGCGCGTCTTGCAGGCGACGTGCCTGAACTAAAGCGCGAAGGCGTGACCGCAACGTATTTCATTATCCGCACAGTGGCAAAAAATGTATGAAGCCACAATTGCTATACATCCATTACAGGTTATTATACATTGATATACAGACGCTCCCGTTCTCAACTCTTGCCAGCAGCAAACCTTCAATACATATGGGACTAAATGCCTCCAGTACGCAAAAAAAAGTTCAACGGGTCCTGTGCCGCAGTGCAAAAATAATAATGAACAAATTATACGATGAAAACATATTTATTGAACATTTTACTGTTGTCCTTATCAAACATAGGTGATCTCGCAGAATCAAGTAAAACCATAAAAACCACTGAGGTTATGAAACATTTTTTGTGATGTGCGCATTAGTGGGTGAGTGTATGGAAAGTGTTCTTGTCAATACCATATTATTAAAATACTGATTAGTGCATAAACTCCATAATGACATGACAACTCTGTTACCTTATTACTGAGCCCACTGACTTAGTGTGGGTATCATTTCACGTCCTTATGGTCAATCAACCATGCCTGTATACATAATGACATGTAGAATATAAGCTCACACAAGATGAATTCATTGCCATTGCAGGCAAATAAACTTATCGAATTACACATCTTAACGAAAAGAAAGTCATCCGTCGCAACGTTACATTAAATGACACCAGTAAGCAACATAACTCAAATCTCCTTGGCACACTTGGTTCGTTTACTATGTATTCCCAAATCTCTTCTCCAATTCAAGCTCATCTGTTTGTGTACCAATCAGTGCGGCTACCTTATTCGGTTTTGTTTTATGCTCTGAAGGTCATGTAAGCT